ATTTTTTCTTTGCGTCATATTCTCAGTATAGTTTTCACTTTCAGTACGTTTGCTACAGTCTGTTAACGACTATTGCGAGTATTTCCAGCTGTTGAATTGTTCGCCATCTTTTGGATTACACTCGGAAATAGAAAGCACAAAAATGCCTACAATTAATTTTTTTAATTTTACTAATACAACGTTTGAAAATTTATAAAACCGTACCATTATTAAAATATATTTTTAAGTCCTCTAACAGTAAAACTAAATGTAAATCTCCGGTTTTCAATATGTGTACACAGTGTGTATAAAGCTAATTTGTATCAGCAAAACTTATTTCCCCCAAAAAAAGTCATTTATGACATCTATGCCATTTTTGAAAAGTGAACGTTTGTCAAAAACCCTTAATGCAATGTTACATAATAATATGATCAAGTGAGCAGACAGCCGACTGTGGTGGTCATACTGTATAATACATTATGTATTGTCAGTACAACAAATTGATGAATATTCCACTTTCGGGTCTGCGTCACGCGATTATTTGATGTGTTTGTTTCGTACATCAACCGCTGATTTTGACGATAATAATATTATTACAACCGATCGTAGCGGTAGTCTTCGACCGAGTCATCCAATATTCGATTGTTGTGCATTGTTGTTTTGTCTGACACCAAATCACGTCGGCCACGGATCTGAGTTCGTGAATCTTCTATCCGACCTCGGTCTTCGAATGTAAACGATTATCTGGGTTGACAAATAATCGGACAAGACAATACAGTATTCGACGATCGGTGACTCGCCAAAGTAAAAAATTATTGATGTATATCGTCGTACTCACTCTGGCTTTTAACATTTAAAGCTGGCACCAGATAGAAAAAAATGTATTTTGCTTTCATGTAAAAAGTTACAAATGTCAATTCTGGTTCTAGCCACACCAAATGTACTAATAAGTGATATTAAAGCGAAATTCCAATCTTATTATTAAAACAAAATAACGCGGATCCAATAAATGGAGCTTGGGCTATTGAAATCAAAAACAACTATCATATCATGTCTGTACCTAGGCCTAAATTTATCATTTTTTTTTTTTTTGAAACGATACAACTAAGCCAAACAAAAAAATTAAACAACCAAATCAAGTGTTAGGGAAAACGAGACAACTGGAAATTAACAAGACAAGCGCAACAGTAAAGAAAAAAAAATGTTAATGCATTTACCTATGTATCGAACAATTTAGAAACAATTTTTTGCACACCTCGTCCATAGCATTAAAATTCCGTCTATCGCGCGCAGAGAAGTAATTTCCGAATTTTTTTTTGTTTACTCTTTTTAAGTCACAGAATTTTTATTTATTTATAATTATTTTTTTTTATCGTAAAGGGGAGGGGAGGCAATCAAGGTGGTTTAGGAGTTACACAACGATATTATAATATAATTATTTTAGAGGCCGAACGACCAGTGTGTGTATATTTCAGAATTTTTCGGCCGAGAGGTTCTCCGAATGATTTCAATTAGTAATCGGCCAGAGACTGATTAATAACGATTTTGATTTAACACGCACGGAAATCGCTAAGATTACACACGTTACATTATTGTTATCTTGATTATTCGGATATGCAGCTAGGAAAAAAAATGTGCGCTATCTTATCGTGTGACACGACAACGAACGCTAGCCGAAAACACTCCCGGGTATACTATTAATATAACTCATATACTACGGTTTTGACTGAGAAACAATCTTAAATTAATCGCATTACACAAATCGATGGCATCAGTAGGTACGGTTATCTCTGCGCGTTAAGCTTTCCTATTTTCGTACCACACTGGTATGTTTTTTTTTTTGCCTATCACTACCGATACGAACACTTATTAGTTATTATTATAATATTACCACTTACTTAATACTCACGTGTGCTTATGATTTTTTTCGAATCGAGTCGTTCTGTATACAGTGTATTTGCGTATAATAACCCAAGACAAGCGTCTTACACACGGTCACAAATTCGCAGTATAACATGGCCGTATTCAGGGGGGGGAGGTTCCGGGTTCAAACCCCCCGAATATTCATCGAAAAATATTTGTATTACCTTTCCTGTATGTCTTTTGTTCCATTTTTTTAAAAGTATTCCTGAAAATGATGTAAAAAAAGAAAGAAATTTTGATGTAAGTTTTCTTTTAACTTTAAAGCCTAAAATAGAATTAAATAATAATAAATGCGTGGTATTATTGTTATCGCCTGCTTAGGCTTATGGACACGCCAATGAATTTTCATTTTTTTCGAATTTCGTTAGTGTACCTTATTGGAAGACGTCAATAAGGAGGAATACATTACTTATACCAAATCAAGCACTAGAAAAATGTCTAGAATTAACAAACCAGACATATAAAAAAATGTTTTTTCAATTATTTTATTTTGAATTTAAATAGTAAGAATTTTACTGAACAGAGAAACTTAGTACAATTAATACAAAACGTCTGTAGTTAAATCCGGACCCTTACAGCTGTATATAATTAAATTATTATTAATATTTAAAATAAATTACTACATGTTTTGCTTACCGGTTACTTCGTATTAGGGATTGTATACTCGTTTCCAAACCACCTATGAGGTAGAGTATTTGGCTCGTTTTTTTTAATGTGGTATCTCCATCTACGATGATGCTCAAATTGTATTTACTGTACAACCACCAGAAATGTGTGGTAGGGGCGTTTCAAGCAATTGTGGACTTACGCATAGATGTCGATCCGGGCATAACTTAAGACTAACTTAATGACTAAAATATCCCGGTATCGACAGACTGGGCGGCCACACCACAGACAATGGTGGACTTACGCATCGAAGTCGATCCGGGCATAACTTAAGACTAACTTAATGACTAGCTTAATGGCTAACTTAATGACTAAAATATCCCGGTATCGACAGACTGGGCGACCACACCACAGGCAATGGTGGACTTACGCATCGAAGTCGATCCGGGCATAACTTAAGACTAACTTAATGACTAAAATATCCCGGTATCGACAGACTGGGCGGCCACACCACAGGCAATGGTGGACTTACGCATCGAAGTCGATCCGGGCATAACTTAAGACTAACTTAATGACTAACTTAAGACTAACTTAATGACTAAAATACCCCAGTATCGACAGACTTTGCGTATAAGAGAGTACGAAGGAGGTTATCCAGTAGGATCACGGGATAGATATTGGTAATTTGATTTACAAAAAAATCTTGTTGGAGCACAAAATGTTGTGACTTGATTAACTGGACTCAAATTTTAAAATAAGTAATTAATTTTTACTGAGCAGAAAATGTGAGAGGTTTATGAACTATAACGAGAACGACTACAACGCGAAAGTGAGAAGTTACAAACGAAAAAATTGTTAAAGTAGTTTAGTTCAATTATCTGAAATGACAATAGTGCTAAAATGTGTAAATTTACTTAAATAAATAAATTGTAATTGTGCGGTTGTCCAAAATAATTTAGAAAGGGAGAATTGAGAGTAAAATGGCATCATCGTACATAGACCTAATCCACACAGTACTTGACTTAGTAGAGGGTAGGAGAGGTAACTCTATTGTTTAGATATTTCAGCGTAGTTAGGTACCTACTAAGTATGTTTATTTTACTTCCAAGTGAGACCAGAATATATTACTCAGACATGTATTGATTTAGTTGAAAAAAATATTTCCAATAATTACACTCCCTTTTTATAAATTCGTCAGCGGAATACATTACTTATACTAAATCAAGCACTAGAAAAAGGTCTAGAATTAACAAACCAGTCATATAAAAAAAAATGTTTTTTCAATTATTTTATTTTTAATTTAATATGTAATAATTTTACTGAGCAGAGAAACTTAAGTACAATTATTTCGTCTGTAGTTAATTCCGGACCTTTACAGCTGTATACAATTAAATTATTATTAATATTAAAATAAATTACTACATGTTTTGCTTACGGGTTACTTCGTATTATTTATACTTATTAGGAAATTTATGACCGACCGTCACGTGTAAATAATTGCACTTGAATCTAAAAAAAAAAAAATTAAAAATAATATTAGTAAATAGTATATAGTAATAATTGGATTTGGACTTTAGATTTGGTATCTAAATTAGTATGTATTAAGAGATTTCTACACGGCATGCTGGGTTTTTACATTACCTACTCTGAAGCCCAAATGTGAAATCGCCCTGTTAGACTCTCAAATGCTTAAATTAATTCACCAACTTTTGAAATTCCAAGTGTTCTTATAAAAGTTTTTTTTTTTTAAACAGTTATTATAAATAACAATGAGAGAGAAGAACATATTGCTGTATTATGTTACATAATATAATAACTGTATGTGTTCGAAATACCTACCATCAAGTCTCCAGGCGAAAAGCCTTTCGAGTTTTTGGTCGCCTTCGGATTCTTTTTTGAAATAGTTTGAAGTAACGTCCAAACTTATGGTAGAACATGACAGTAATGTTTAAGTCGTTCGAAAAAGTAATTTTTAACGTAAAATATATCTGCAGAACGCTTCGACACAATGCATATTGTTCGCTGAAAATATTAAAATCTAAGTATTGACTTTTAATATACTATCAATATACAATTGCTACGTCTTGTTATTTAAACAACAAGTAGAAGTTAGCATAGAAACGAGTTGTTTTCAGCAGTTAAAAACACACATAGAGTCAGCAAAGGTTTGCAAATTTTGTGTTCAAAGAGATCCTATATAATATTATATTATATATAACAAAGGATCTCTTTGAACACAAAATTTGCTTTACATTATTAATATTAATTTAGCATAGATTGAATTAATTGACAGAGTAATTGTGGTTGATAGAAGGGTGTGTATAGTAGCTCGTCCAGTATGCACGTGCGTTTTATTCAAACAATTGTTTATTATAAAAATAATCTTGATCAAATGAAAGATGTAAAACTTAATTAATTAAATATTAATGAAAATGGTTTGGAAATATTTTTAAACAATATCGTTTTCATTGAAAACGATTGACTAGCGCCCGTCCCGTGTTTACGTACAGAACTAAAATTTGTCTCCGTGGGTTGTCTATAATATTTATAAACAATGGTATTAGATAGAAATTGTAAAAACAAAAACGGATTTATACAAAAATTACAATCGTAAAAAATAAATTTATCAGTAATTAGTAACTACATTTAATGAGAAATATATTAATAATACAATGGATTTTTTTTATTAACCTAGGTAACAAATGAAAAACATATAATATGATACATAAAAAATAATAAAGCTCATTACACAAAAATAATAGTTGAATCGTATTAGTAGATGGCGTCATTATCATCCAAACCATCATCCTCATCATCTAAATATCCTTCCCCGTTATCAAAATAATTTTTATTGTAGTCAGTCCCATCATCTAACTCATCGTCGACTTCACTTTCCAACTTATCATCGATATCGTTTACTTCTCCTTCTTTTTCATCTTCCTCTTTCTTTTTTGGTTCTTCGCTATCTTCGACATCAATGTGTTCCTCTTCTTCGAGTTCTTTAACAACACTTTCATTGAACAATTGTGAAGTGGAAGGGCCGTTTTCAGTTTTTACCTTCTTTTTACTGGCTGGGTTGAGGAAATCGTTTATTTTGATTTTCTTGGCAGATACAATTTGTATTAACGACAAATAATCACGGTTGGCTTCTTCGGCTTTTAATTTATCCATCCACTGCTTGTCTGTTAACGGTTTATCATTTGGTGAAATTTTCTTTTTTTTTTTGGGTAGCAAGGACGGAGGAAAATAACTATGGTTTTCTACACTCTTGAGGTACGACCAAGGACTAGTAAACGCGCCAGCCATTGGTTCAGCACTTTTCAAGAATTTTTGTTGTATCTGCTAGTTTTTGTTTGTGTGGTAAACTTTCCTAAAATAATACAAACACAAATAATTACATTAATTTAAATAATAATAAATTAATACCACCCTACAATAAGTGTATAATATTTAAGCATGGTGGATTTGAGTAAAGTTTGGTTTAAAGTTCTAAAATTAGACTAAAGTAGATCCGATGTACATAATAATGTATAATATTATTGTACTAGCGTTTAGCAGTATACATATATTTTGTTGTCGAAATGGTTTAGTCATGTTTAGTCTAATTAACGTTATCAAAAGTTGGTAATCACTAAAAAAAAATTGCAAACCAATTAATGATAATAAACAAACAACCAAATGGTTACGAGTTTATTTTTTTGCGGTAGTAAATAAGCACCATGATAATATTCATATTATGAGTACAATTAAAAATTCAAAACCTTATTGTTAAATACACTGTATGTTTTTTGATAATTATTTTGTAATCTTTAATTTCCAACACTATTGTTGGGTTATTATAAATTGCAACTAAGAGAAAAACGCCAACCAGTGACGCAAAAAATTGTTTTTTTTTGAAACACCTCTTATGAATGTCGTTTATAAAAACTCTATGGAAGAATATTAATTTTTTGCCTGTAAAGAACTTACGAATATACATTTTTGTTATGTAATCTCGGTCGATTATCGTCCTAGTTCATTTTTTTAATTATTTATCACTATTTATAAATGGTAGGCTAAAGATTAAAATATAAAAGAGTACTAACATTAATTTCTATATTTTTGAGTACAGCGATTCCTATTTTTATTAAATAATAATCGTATTAACACAATATTTTTAAACGTTAGGTAAGTACTTGAAATTAAAGAATGTTTTGTTAACCGAACTTTATAGTTTGCAACAATAGGGAAGAAGTTGTACCAACGAATAGCTATGGACAAATATCCTGCAGATATTACTTATTGAAACCGATTTTTATTTAAACAATTCAGTTTATTGTAATTAAATAAATTAAATTTAAAAAATTGTCAATATTAAAAAACATATTTATTTACAAAAAAAAGCAAAAATTCAAAAATCTGTTTCCTACATAACCTCCAACCAAGTAACCCAAGAACAGAATTGAAATCGGACCATCCTGAGTAGTTGACATTTTGTCAGGCTTTTTAGTCTACAATGTCAAAACGGACTGCATTCAATCCCCTTGACAAAACTATTATTTTATTGTAAAATGTTAGTAGGTAGGTACTTTTTATTTTAATAAATTTAATTTTTACTGCAGCTAAGAGCGCATTTTATTGTCATGCAAAATCAGAAGAATAAAACTATATACAATAACTAATTTAAGGCTATTAAAGAAAAAAAACTTATTTATCTAGTGTAATTGGCTTATAAACATAGATTTTCCAAAATAAAGTCAAGCTTACTTTAATGTATATGAAGTCAAATACTGCACATCAAAGATCTGTCGAATAACATAATTGATTTATACATATTTTAAAAACTACCGAGAGATATAATTTGTTTGACTTCCGGGATGTATCGCCACCTCCTTTTGGATTTTGTTGACTCGGAAATACAACTTAACATGCATTATTCTTAATAATAATAATAATCGAATAGTAACTTCTAGAAAATCAGTACACGAGGAATCGACAATTATAAATACAAATTAATATTGTTCAGTATTATCGCATTGTATTAATTGTTACCATTATTATAACGATGTCACGACTTGAGGTATATTATTTACTATCAACTGGCCACATTTCACAAAGGAATATTCGTTTTAAACTTAGATTTTGCCGCCTTTAGCTTAGCAATAAAATAAAACGCATATATTATACAATATGTATTGTAACCACAGACCGAACGTCGTTTTCTTAACGTTGACCAAAGTTATCCAAATTTCATGTAAGTCATCTTCTCTATCATCTAGGTCCTATGAATTATAAAATATACCTATGTATAAGCTAAAAAAAAAAGTTTCAAACAAAACTCTTTAATATATCCAACAATAACAAAATCTATAATAGATTTTTAGTTTACAAATATATTTCTATGAGTTAGTAGCGTTTAAAGTTTTAACGAGCAACAAAATGCGGCTAAGTGGTGCGTTTGGTTAAAAATAACACAACGGTATAACCCTTACCGGTTACCCGGTCTAGAACTTTAAACTAACTCAAAAACTGTTAATTATTGTGCTCAACCGGTCATCGACCGTTAATAATTTTCTCTTAAATAATAATATTATCCCGTATAAAATAATTGCATAATTAGAATATAGAAAACTATTTTTTTTTATGTTTTATACGCTGCAAAACAATTTTTACTGCGTATTGAAAATAAAAAAAAACGATTGTAAATTGAAATTTGGATAACCCTGTATATAATATAGTATTGTCATAATAATTTCTGGCGTTATCGACACGTCGTTTTGACAAGCAAGCAGCAGCTGTGTATCAATAGTAATACCCGGCCGTCGGATCGTTCTTATTGTGCCATCGTCGCGGGCAACGATAGATCGTGTAGCGCGCCGGAGAAACGGACCAAAAACAACGGCTACATCAATAATAATAATATGTGTTATTAAATTAATATAATTAAGAGAACAAAAATATATTAACAAAACCTATCGCCTTCATTATCGGTACCGGTATTATACCGACCGACCGTGTTCCGAGCTGATAACAATCGCGCAATTTGCCGTTGTCTAGTCGTTACCGCGGTACATCGTCTTGGTCTCATTTCGCGCTGGTCGTTCTCGCCGGTGTGACATCCTCCATTTCGGGGGGGTGCTTAGTTATTTATTATTTTTTTTTTTTTTTGTTTCCGTCCGTTGTTTACATCTAATATATAATAAATCGTCTTAGCCCGAAAGTGTGGTACTCACCGTAACGAGTCGTGTGGAAATGGTAAACCACACAGTCGACGTCTCCGCCGCCGCTGCCGTTTAGCCGAACCCAAGTAGTGTCTGCTCGTTCAGAGGTAAAATCCAAAATTAACAGTCGCCGTCCGTCCGCAACCGCTTCAGTTTCAGGTAATTCTACAACTACTGCTCCCCCCCCCCTACGGTCCCCGGCCCCGACAGAGGGTCATGCCGTTGGCGTTCGTGGTGGAAACTTAAACGAACTCGGACTGGCCAAAGTGAAAATATTCGGCTTCGGCCCCAGCCCCAGCGAACTAGCGCTAGGAATTTGGGGGGAAATGTAAATAAATAAATAATGAGAAAAAATTGTAATTTTGTCGACCACCACGCAGCCGTTGTGCGTTAACTTTACAGAATTTCGATAACGCCTGTACTGTCGTAGGTTTCCGTTGTTGCATAAAAGCATTTTATCATGTTTATTAACAATACTGTGCTTACACGACAAACACCGAATGATTTAATTTCATATCGAAAAAACCAATTCAAGTTTAGGTTCCATCCCCGAACTATATGATCTGTTTTTATTTTGTCAAACATTCTCATTCATTCTTTCACACATCCGTCGGTTAGATCTTCCGATAATTAAGTCCAGTTCGCAAAATAGTCCGTGGCAATTTTTCCTATTTTATTTCTTACGTTTTAATATGTTTTTTCCCTTAAATAATTCATTCACTAATCTGTTTTAACGTCATTCCCATCATCATTGTCATTTCATTTAACCCTTTGAAGCACAGCATTTTTTTTCTCTGATTTTCTCTGAACATGATTATGAAGGTGGTAATAAATATATACCACCGTGCAAGAGTAGGCAATTTTTGAAAAAGTGGTATATTACTTATACCACCATGCTTCAAAGGGTTAAACCAACAGGACGTCCGATGGTGGTAGAAAAACCGGTAATTCGCAAAAACTGTGGTACCCATCTACTATTTTATGTTTTTGTCAACTTGTTAAATCGTTTGTTAATGATTTGGTATGCAAATATATAATAAGTAGAAATTGTTGATGTTGAGTTCGTAATGTCTCTCTTATCGTCACATTTAAAATAATATGTTGTACTAATACAACACGGAGATTGCGTTATGTCAATGACGATCGTTTGTATGTTATGCCTAACACGTTCATTAAAATTAATTACATCTTATTGTCGAAAAGCCAAATGTTATCTTGTTTCGAAAATCTCGTGTGCAATACAATAAATTATTCACACTAACAATTATATTATTATAGGCAAAAACCCCGCATGGCATAAGATTTAAATTGTTTTAAGTATAAGTTTTCAAAAGTAACCGCACGAGGTATTCGTTTTAAACGCGACCACTGAGATGAAATAAAAAAACAATTATAGAAAAGCTAGATAATTTCTATATGATTTCATTCGCGAAATAAATAAGAAAATTAAAATACAGATGACATTTGGACTGTAATATATGTTTAGTTATATGTTATAAATTAATCCCTTGGACCTTATAGTTCATTAAAGGGTATACAATTGATATACATGTTCCAGTTCTGTCTAATAACTGTTTAATCTGTTTAAAGAGATTATTAAAACCGAACATATTTTTAAACCGATTAAAAACCATATCCGAAACGAAAGACTTTCTGCTCCGCGTCGAAGCTAAAATGTTAAGTCAGTTGCACCACTAGTTGAAATTAAACAAAATGGTTTTAAAAACCTTAATCAAGTACTTAACCGTTTATTGAAGTAAACATATTTCTATATAATATTTAATGCTAAAACTTATCAAAGTGACACGTCAAAGCGATAAAAAGTTAGGACAGTATGGTATAGTAAGTTTAGTCAGATATTTATTATTATAATTTTTAAAATTGCTATTATACACAGCTGTCAAGACAGCTCAAAAAACGCTACAATAAAAACGAAATTCAATGTATTTTAACACCGTCGTTGATATAAAATAAAAACCAATTGAAGTTAATTTTTAATTATAAAGATAATTTGTCTAGATCAAGTAGTTTTTTTATAAAGTCAATTTTCGTATATAGATAAACCTGTTAAGGAGACGGCACATAATCTTTCTCAAGGCATACGCAACATTTCAAAATAATTGTAAGCTAATATTTTAGTTTTCAATAATATCCTCTTTATCGGTAGTTAGTTTTTTAATCGGACTGTTACAGCTGCAATTTGATGTTTTTCTGATGAGAACCCGTCCTTCTCATTAGAAATTTACTAAAAATGTAGACTAACCAAAATGTAATTTATAACAATCGTTTTATGAAATGTTTTTATTTCTGTGTTTTATGACATAAGAAAATCCGGTATAAGCTTAGGGATGTGATTTATAATTAATAAAGCTTACATACCAGTCAGGAAAGGCGTAGCGAGGAGTAAATAGCCATCACGGCACGGACCTTTGCAAGATAAATGAGCATTTACCTAAGTCCGTACCGAATTCTTAGTCATAATGTCATGTAAAAAGCTTCGATAAAATTACAATGATCTGGTTATCTGTGTGCTATAAGTTTGGGTTTAATTATACTACCGTGATCATATTATAATAAACCGTAAAACGATTTTGTATTAAATAGTTTCTTCTTTTGAACAATATCAGAGGAGTTGGGTATTATTTAGATAATTCTTTATCTAAATAATTAACTACATAATTTTTTTATTCGAATAATTTATTTATAATTTTACAAATCGCTGAACTCTGAAGCATCCTCGACAACTGTTATCACACTCAAAAAAGCAGACGTCTACTCTAGATTAAATTATCCAAAATGACTAATGTCAGCAACTAAAGTTGAGCAAAACATTTTTTTTTACTCTATACTAATTCAAATTATTTATTTGAATAATTTTTTTTATTCGAATAAATCATCTTATATTTGGTCGAATAAAAATATTTTTGGAATAAATCATCTTAAATAGTATCGAATAAAGAGATCATTGGAATAAATTAGTTAGTATTCGTTATTCGAATAAAAAATGCTCAACTTTGCTGACAATTGACATCAGCCATAAATAAAATAAAACATCGCACATACTTTTTTTTATTTTTTTATTAAAATATTTTCTTTATTTACAATCTATAAAAAACATGTATAATCAGCAAGTCTGATGACAACGATACAATGACATAATGTGTGAATAGGAAGGCTCTCAGCAGTGCCACCTGACCAGAAAATATCGCACATACTTAAGTATTTTTTAAAAGTCATTTTGGGGAATTAAATCTGTTGTAAAACAACATTGTCAACATTTTATTTAAAAATATGTTTATAATATTAAAAAATATTTTAACAATTATTGTAAAATATTAATTTTTTATTTATATATTTGCTGTGTGCGATCTTCTACACAAAAAAAATAGTTTTGTTGCAACAGTAATTTGGTTATACCCGTGACAACTTGATTTTGTAGATATTATATTTACTATTTAATGATTCTTATTTATCATTTCTTATTTATCATTTATCATCAATTAGTCCAAAATTCCTTAACTATATGTTTATTTAATAGACATGTTATTTGGCGAGTAGGTACAACTACAAAATCTGATTGCACAGATGCAACTAAATTCCTGTTAATGTAACAAACTAATTATTTTTGTGTACAATTTTATATTTCACAGATTTACTTGTACGATAAAAAGTGTATAGGATACATTATATTATTAATGTTGAATATTCCGCGTTACCACGTGGGCACGTCTTTGATTGTAAATAATACATTTGAAAGTGAAAAAATATAAAAGCATTCAAGAAAATATCTTGATTCCTATCTACAAGTAATAAAAAATGAATAGGAAAATGTCTATGAAAAATAACTTTAAAGGCATTGTTGATGTTTAAATCACATTTTTGCAACATTTATGGGTTTTTTTTATACAAAAAAAATATAAACTCTGGTAGATCTGCTACAAACACATTTTTTTACTATTTAAATAGTAAAAATGTATTTCATACATTTACTGTCTACTACTAGTACAAATGTTTCGGTTTTCAACGAAAGGAATATTATCAAACGGTGGATGTGAATTCTACAAGATTATATTGTTATAACAATGGCTTTAGGTGATTTTTATATTGCTGTTTTACATACCTGATAAAAAATTTGAGAATAACTACCAAACGGTTATATTGATTGCTCTGTTTTTATATTGTTTTGCAGGTGCCATCGGGCCAGACCCAGCCAAGATGACCTCCTGGGACTCATATCTAGCGGTGGCGACGTTCTTGTCGTCACCGGAAGAGTTTATGGGATGGTTTGTCGGATTCGTTTCCTTGTTTAGTTCAAACCTAGTAAGACCATTAAGACTGGCATTAACAGCGCCCAACAAAAATAACAAAAAAAAGTAAGTGGTTTTACAATATTCAGTACAATATTTACTATACAGACAAAGCAATAAAAATGTGCACCTATAATGTATACGAATGGACACCGTCCATAAACCGTCTATGTAATTATTCGGATACGTTTGAAGGTTTATATTTCTAATGCTTTCGCAAACGTCAGGGATGTGAGAAGTACAAGCAATACGTGGTGTTATTTTTAAAATAATTAATTTTATTTTTTTTGTAAATGACAATAACGGGCTTGTTACTCCCCCAAAGAAATACCGTTATGAAAATACGTGTATTGCTTGTACTAACCTAATGTTGTGTCATAATATAAATGGAGTGAAATAAAATATGATGAGCTATAGTCCGTTAAACTAAACTCAAGCTTCGAAGCGCTGCGACAAATTCCCAACAGATGTATCGAGCGCCTTAAGTAATACACACAACGCATCACAACTCACACCAGCCAACACCTGTACATTACCGACATTCTACAATCGTTATACTTTCGCGCTTGCATAGATGCCTAACACCGTTATTGTTATCTGATTGGTTATTCAATTGGCGAATACTACAAATAATAATTACACCGCGATGATTAATTATATCTACTCTTTTCGTTTTATCACATTGATTTTTTTTTTTTTATAACGAAATCCTACAAAGAATCACATGCTAACCGAATTGATAGTTAACAAACAGTTAAAGAACGGCGATAAAGCAATCTTGTCGTTTATTTAATCTAATTTGAGTTCTCTAATAAATTAATCGAATTTTCGTTCGATAGTTTTTTGTTGTAATTTTTGCACAATCTAAATTATCATTTAAAAAGAGAACTTAGGTTTTAGCTTACACGCGGAGCTGACTAATTAGGTATTTTTTTTTACAAGTTTGTTTTAAATGCCAACGTTTAAGTTTTTACGTCATCGCAGATTATTAAATAAAAGTCTACGATGTAGTATTGAAAATGCATCTTTTTACCGTAAAAATGCTCAGGGATAAAACAATATACAAGTGCTTTTGATTTAAAATTATTCAAATCAAAACGTTAAGCTCCGGCATAGCTTTGGAATTAAGCATGCCGACATAAGCAATGTAATGTGTCGATATGATTTTCTAAAAATGTCTTGTAATTTTTATAAAAATCGTTTACACGAGGGGATTGCATGCGGTATGTTTTTAAGGAATTTTGTATAGGCAATATTTAAGAAAAAAGAGGTTTTAATACATCTCGACCATATCAATTAATTACCGGTTAATTTGTATAAGTTAATATGTTAATTGTTCAAGGTATTATTTTTAGTTAAAATAATTTCTTTTATGAGTGAAAGCAATTTTATTTTGGTTTATTTTAGACCAAAAAGCCAGGATGGTCTAATTTCAATTCCGTATAGGGATTCGAGTTTGTTGGCTACTTTACTGTATTATTATGTAGTAAGCCAATTTTCATTTAAAAATTTTAGTTTTTTATAATTAAATAAATTTAACTTGCAATTTTTTTAATATTAAAACCATTTTTCTTTTACATAAATAAATAAAAAATCTTTGTTTTGCATAACCTATTAAAGTTGCCAAAGCACTCGTATGTCTTTACAGAATTGAAATCGGGCCATCCGAAGTAGTCGACATTGTGTCTGGCTGTTTGGTTTAAAACGTTAGAAAAACAAACCGCATACAATCCCTTCAATCTAACCTAGTTCAATCTAACTGTCTTCCATTGTAGGTGGTGTAACTATTGTCGGTAGGCAAGTGCGTTGGGTTTGTAGTTTGTAGTTCTTGTATGCAGCACGTGCGTCGGACAGAGTAATTTTTTTTCAATATTAAAATATTTATATAATATATTATGTGTCAACGAATTCTCTGTGTTTCGCCTCTTGCCAATTCATGCACACAAACGAGTAAGGTAACGCGTGTAATATTAATCATGCGGAATTCATTAAACGCAATTGGAGTTTATAATTTAAGTCGAACCACGTCATTACACACAGTTATCTAAGGGCTCTGTGGACAAAAAATAATTTAATCGACATTTCGCAACAAAACAAATGATGCCACCGCGTCCTTTGTCCGAGTGATTCTTGTAAAACTGTATTTTAATATAATAATATTATGAAACGATCGCGTTATGTCACCGACCGTGTACATATAATATCATCACAATAGTTTGTACTGTACACTCATTGTGTTTGCTTTGCGCGTTGTCCGCACTTGCAGATCCGACTTAACTTGAACACTGCTTGGCCACTATTGATTTATTTAGCTAGGTCTAACAGTTTCTTTTAAATAATTCTCCCCTCGTACCCTATCATATGTAGAGGAGCGAGTCTTATTCGTTCGTACTATATTCGTTCTACAACCCCTTAAAACCCCTATTGCCCAAATAAATGCGTGGTCCTCGTTATTGTGGTGTTCATAATGAGCTCATCAAAGGCGTCACCGACTCTGTTTGGACGATTGACTTGTACTGGTGTACAGGTTTTTCAGATGTTGACTGATGTATGTAAATACTGATTACTTTAATGCAAGCAGCAAAAACAAAAAACAAAAACCTAAGAAACCCAACGGGCGACACTGCGCCTTAAGTTCAAAATACAGCCTCTCGCCATGCGATAGCATGTACACACGTTATGTAGATCACGTGGATACCGTTATTACGGCCGTTGGCAATTAATTAGCGAAAAACACTGTTGTCATGTATGTTTTTTGTGTTCAGAATAAAACGGCAGATCGAAATCCGGTAGTGCGCCGTCGCCTGTATACGATCATTATCGAATTACCCACGCGTTCAAAGTCTGATAACTCGGTTTCTCTGCGTTCTGCGATGGAGCCCGTCTAGATTGGATTTTTTTATTTCGCACACATGCAAACCATATAATACAGTATGTGCAAAAAGTCTCGTGTATCGCCGGCGTTTGAAATTGTTCGGTGGTCTAATTAATAACATATTATTTAAAAAACGATTGCCCAAATTTCTGGCCAAAGGACAATCCGAGAGAATACAAATTTTTTTTTCAATTTCTCTATTCATCCGTTATTCAGTTCAAATTTTAATTACGAACGGTTCCGGACCCTTGGGACATATTGTATGATAATCGACCGTCCAGTGCAAAAATATCCGTCGACCCTTAAAGGCGAATAACAAAAAAAAAAACCAACGCAAATTTGCAAATTATACACTATGACGTCCGAGAACGGCATTCAACCTCCATCCATTATCCACGTCCGTCTAAACAAACAACCGTATTCAACAATTTATTGCTGATTTTTTAACCGTCCAGCGGTCGCGCTATTTGCTATAACATGAGTAGTCGCGCGTTGTAGTGATAATCGTACGAATTTGTATCAAATATTAATGCGCGGTTTGCTAGAACTCTTGATGTTGTTGTTTTTCTCCTTGACTTAAGAAAACTTGACCTTATTTAGTGCTCTTTCACAATAAAACAATCTCATAACGTTTCACATACAAGTTATGTTATTTTTGGCCATTTCCTTCTCGCAAGTGTAAACAACTAGAATCCATCCCTCTGGCAACAAATCTATTGGGTTTTGTATCATCAACGCACCGAGTCCTTAAGTATATTTTAAGCATCTCATAAAATGCACGTTTGCTCTCCTTCCGGCTTAAGCTCGCGTACATTTATTATTCTGGTGTATATAGAAATACTTTTTCTTTTATATTTTGTTTCTATGATCTATTACCATTACGATTACCACTATAATATATTAGTCTTTCGTAAAATATGTACATAATAGTAGATACCTTGAGCGCGCGAGCCAGTTTATTATTATTTATTTGGTTCATTAATAAATAATATTTTAAATAGTAATAGTCAATGTTAAATCGTTTGTATACGAACAATATGAAAATCCATTAGGCATACAATGTTTATTTTCAGAACACCTTGGTTATACGATATTCAATGCGACGACGACCAAGCAATATTTTTTTTTAACGTCGGTTCGTGACGGAAATGATAAAGACCGAACTTAACCTTCTGTCGGCTCGTTTGTGCTCGTTTAGGTACACATTTGAATGTCGCCACACCGTTTGCTATCACAATATTCACATGTAACTCTGCTCGGGAGACTCATTTTTTTTTCATTTTTAGAGGTGTACCTTTCATATTATTATACTTTTGCTTCATTTTTTAACTACTCTGGCGGCCATTGTGTAGAAATTCTGGCGAATTCTTTTATCTTTTCCACTAATTAATATTCGTTTCCGCGGGTGCTGCCGGCTGCGCGTTACCGTAAAACTTTTATCCGGCATATTTGACCTAATAAATTATTACAGTTGTGCCAAGGCGGGTGTTTTCTCGCCCTCTATCTCTAGTCATTTAAAGCCATCACAAGGGCACTGGCGTTGGCGTTCGAAGTGAAAACGTCATTTGCGAAGACTTAAAAAATATACTTATTTACTTTATTAGTGACTTAAGGATTTATCCATTTCGAGAAATCTATTAACGGGATTAAAACGTCATACTACAGTTTTATTCATAACGGTTAAATATGTGTATTTTGTCCAAATAGCTCGCCGTTCTTAGATTGCCATGATAGGTTTAAAAAGTTAAACAAATTAAGTTGAACCATGAATTTATTGAATATAATTCTTATCGGTTAGGTGATGACCGTGTTGTTTATTTAGACACATCTTGATTGTCCCAACTGTCTATCATATTTCCCAACCCCTGACATGTGGTTGGGCGTTTCGTTCAATATACGTATTATTGCCACAAATTGCCTATGCTTAAGGGTTTAAGCGCTTTGTTAAAAAAATAAAGCGTTTCCCTTAAACAAATAATAATAGTAATTACCGAAACGAACTTACGACAAAAACACTGCAAAGACCAAAATATAAATATTTTCTATTATACTTACCACTAATTGTGCACTAATTATTATAAAGTCGTTTATTATCCGAACGCACAAGTGTCAAAGCGTTGCGTTGGTAATAAGTAATAACAATAAATTGCCTTATTAGTTTTCCTGACGATAAATGGTCGCATAATCATAA